ACAAGGATTTGGGGTTTTCCTATACAAAGCAAAGTCAAATTTTGGTCTACTTAACTTTTCATCAGTAAGTCGTCACTACATTGTAAAGAAAATAGAACCACAATAGGTTAGATACCAATTTACGTGAAATACCTATTTCTGTCAATCTCAACATTTCAACATGAGTTTTAGAGACAGGGAGTAAACCTTATGTTTGTATTGTAGTTCACAGAAAATCATGTATATTCGTAAACACACACAACATGCCTTTCACCATAATTACACACGTATGCCATTAAAAAGATACTGACAGATTTTTATAAAACATACTGGCCTTGTGCTGGTAATCTCAAGAAGACATTTTTCCTTAATTTAGTTTTGCACTGCATGGTAGCACCAGTCACCACTACAGATCTGTCAGCATTTCCATCACAACTCTATTTTCAGAACGCTGGAGTACAAGTGCCAAGATACATATTTACAGTTTACAGACAGTGGTGGCTTTGTCCTCCTTTTAAACCGACTGCTTCAATACACCTGTACAAGGAATTTCCTAGGAAGATAGTGCCTATATAATTAAAAGCATCATGTAACACAGACAGAAGAGATAAAAAGATGCAGACTTCAGGTCAAGACTAAATCATTTGGCTCCTTAAGGCTCTCTGTAACTGTAGCTGTCTCTACTTATAGCATCCATCCAATAATCTCTCTCTCTCTCTCCATATACATATATAGATAGATAGAGTGAGTCCTGGTATGATGCTGAAGGATAAGCACTGGACCGCAAGGTTGGTTTGAACCACAAGGTCAGTGGTTCAGATCCACCAGTTGCTCCTCAGAACCCCTATATATATGATATATATGAGCAGTACATAGCATTGGGAAACCCTACATATATACATACATACTATATATATATATGCGGTACACAGCATTGGGGAGTGTGGTAACTCCTACAATGAACACTGGACTGTGAACCACAAGGTCCACAGTTCAAGCCCACCAGCCACTCACTCTGCAGTAGACAGATGAGGCTTTCTGTTCCCAGTAAGATTTAAAGCCTTGGAAACCCTATACAGGGTTGATATGAATTGGAGCCGACTCAACAGCAGTTAACATCAACAACACAGCACTAGTATACAAAACACTAAAGGTGGAAACTACCCTAGAGACAATCACGTCCATAGTGAGAAAACTGAACACAAGCCACTAAACACAAATACTGACCATTACTAACCCTAAGCATTCAACTCCATTAAACAGGTAGAGTTAAAACATTCACAAGTAAAGTTTCTCTTAGACAAATACATTAACCACACGTGAGTGACTTGCAACAGTGTGAAGGAAGTTATGTTGGGCAAAGTCGTCTTTTCTTAAAGATTAGGTGGGTCTGTGAAAGGGTCAACAGAAACTTTTTATTTAATGGAATACAGCCAATTTTATTGGCTCTTTCCATGCAAAAGTGGGCAATTAATCAGATTAGAGAGATTTGCTTAGCAATTTAAAAATGTTTCAAAACATTCTCATGAGATTTCTCCCTAGAGCTTTGTCTCCTGATGTTAACTTTTTATGTTCTTCCCTATTTTGACATAATATGCAAGCTTATTTGTCTACATGACAATATACAGACATGGACTGTGATGAAGATAAGAACTGCAAATATTTTTGTTTTAACATGATTGCTATCAAAGTTAAAGGGTGTATCTCATACATATTCTGCTACAAATACAGAGGCAAAAGGAAGTTTACAATGAAGTAAGTTTTTTGCATAGGCTTTTTTCTTTTTTCTGTGCAAATCACTAACAAAAGAGTTATAAGAAAACTTATTACACTCTGGCTGACTCAAACCATATTCATGCTCAATATTCTTTGAAACATGTACTTATATACAAAAAGGCTTTCTAAAGTTCATGAGAAAACTCCATTATCTTTTAACCTACCTTTCCGTGAACTTTTTTAAGCCCCCTTATATATCCAAAGGAGTCCTGGTGTGGTGCTGTGGGTTAATGCGCCAGACCACAAAGTGTGTCTGAACTTCAAGGTTGGCGGTTCAAGCTCACCAGCTGCTCCTCGGAAACCTTATACAGGGTCGCTATGCATTGGAACCGACTCGACGGCATTTCACAACAACAACATATATCCAAAGAATTTGTTGTTGTGAATTGCTGTTGGGTCAGTTCTGAAGCAGAAGTCCTCATCTTTTGCCCACAGAGCAGCTGGTGGGCTCAAACTGCCAACCTTGTGGTTCATAGTCTAATGCTTATCTTACAGAGCCACTGCGCTCACCCAAAGAAATTAAGCTCTGATATTTCCCCCTTGTGCATAACACCCCAATGCCACGGTTCGGATACAGATGATAGCAACATAGTTTAGTAGGTTTCAACCGTGAGTGTATGTAGTAGATGTGGCAGAACTGAGTGGGTTACTATAAGAGAAATATAACTATTTGAAATTAATTAAAAATGATTTATTTTTTCATTTAAAAATTAGATAATGAGAGCAAGAGAGTACAAAATATGAAAAGTGTGACCTTCACTCTATCAGAATCTCATGGAAAATTCATTTTACTGTCTCAAGGAATCGTAGAGACTGGTAAATTTTTCCCAACTTCAGCATATAAATTTACAAGCTTATATTTTGATGATATTCTCAAGACACCTGGCTTTATTAAATAAAATTCCCTCACTACATTAGCCTTTTTGCTTGGTCATCTCTTTGTTACCTAGTTCCTTGGTTAGTAACTTTAGGAAAACAAAACAAAACAAAACAAACATTTTATAGTGCCAATCATAGATTTTGCTGCACAATTTAGTTACAAAAATAAAAACAGCCCAAACTACACAGAAATATTACTAGTTAAGCTACACAGATATTTTAGTGAACCCACATAACTTTCTGGTTTCATTAGCATATGTAGGTTAGCAGTTAGGACATTTTTTAAGATCGCTTTAAATTTTTGCAATCAGTTCCATATAAACATTGCCCTCCCCTCCCACCTACAAAATTTAAAGTAAAACACAACTAAAGTCACACAATTCCAAAGTCACCTAATGTCCAAAACGACTCAAAGTCTCTCTGACATTGCACACTGAGAAAAGGGACTACACAGCAAATGCTTCAAGTACAATTCATGCTGATTATCAGTAAGAGTCTAAACATCGTTGAAAAAAATACACTTGTCCTCTTTGAAAGATGCTGCAGTGAAGAAATCTATAGAGTATGGCTGCAATATAATATTAAAGGAAAAAAAAATAGTTTCTTTGGATAGAAAGAAACAGTGTAAAAATCCCTTTTTAAAATGCAGAATTAACTCCATTATCAGTCTGCATTTACATTACTGCCCAAAACAATGGGTCTGGAAGGAGCATTTTCTGTACAGATATGAGTTAATCTCTGGATGAAAAGATAGCATCTGGTGTGGGAATACACAAGGGAGATACTGGTCTATTAGCACACATAGAGACTTTCTTAAGGCTGATCCAGTGAACGAACCTTTGGATCCAGAAGTAGTTCTTCATTTCTTTTGCTTTCAATGGAATTCCTAGTAAAAAAAAAAAAAACTTAAAAAGATGAGCTGGTCTCACTTTTACATTTCTCCATTTATGGAGAGAATGGAATAATGACACCAAAAGTACTTGTTTTTTCTTTTAAAAATAATTTGCTTTCTTTTGCATGCCACAGGACAGATTTCTAGTTTCAAAACGAGGGTACATCAAGAACAAAAATACCCCCTCCCCCAACCATCTTTATTTTCATCAATACAAGAAATCCTTCTGGAAACATAAGCAAGTACTAAACAGGTATCGAACCACTGCATCTACAAGTTAATACATAATCTCGTATGGTAGAATAACCATGAATTTCCCCCCAAAGAAAAGAGCTTAATTTTTCAAATATAAAAGAGTCTAAAAGGATCATATGCAAAGAAATAAAAATCTCTTATTTCAGGTTTTATGGTAAAGAATAAGAACACACAGGGTAGCTGGAAATAGCTGAAATGCTTCCTAATAAACAGATCCAAATTAAGAAATGTCTACATTTCTTTAGAAAATAGGACCAGTATTCCTTTTTTTAAAAAAATGATGATCCTGTGGAATGCCTTTACTTCCATATTTATCTAATGTTATTAACAGTACCACAGACACAAGGTTGATGATGTCAGCTCGAGGATGCTGGATTCAGGACGCTTACAGGTACACTTTTGTTTCAAAGTCCTACAGGTTTATTGACTAAGGCTAGACAGCAATTCATATGATCCTATTTGGTGCATTTTCTACCATGGTCCAAGATCATTACATGGATACAGCCTAAGACTGGCCCCCAACTTTCAGGAAAAAGACCACAAAGAAGAAAATCAGGGTGGCTATTTGGTCCGTCCCCTCCAGTTTATAATTTGTGTCCTGGAACTGGAAAAACAAAAAACAAAAGCTGAAAAATACAGACTGCAATGAGTTAAAGGACTTGAAAAAAGTTGGTGGAAGGTGTCACGAAATAAGAGTAAGGTCACTGGGCTTGGGATGGCAAGGGCGTTGCATTGAAACAGTATCCATGGGACCAAGTACTTATAACGTCTGGTGGTGTCATTCCCTCAACAACTTTAGAATATCTGTATGCGATAATAAATAGATCAGTTATGTAATAAGGCAGTGTGTTGAATATGCATTCGTCTTGTGGAATGAACCACCACAGCGAGAGACATGATACCGTACACATTCTTTCAGTTTTCTTGTTTTGTGTTTGATTGGTTTGTTTTCAAGGCTTTCCAGGCTAACTCTTCCCGGGGATTTTCTTGGAGAGAAGAGTGGTCCGCTGAGGTTGGTTTGCTTAACCTCTCCTTTATCAAGAGATGATGACTGGCTTTAAAGGAAAATAAAGCTGAAGGTTGTCTGATTTTCACTTTTTCCCTTTTGGTTGAATCATTCTGAGTGTTTTCATATAAACAAACAAACAAACAAATTTAAAAAAAAAAAAATCACAAAAAAAAAAAAAAAAAATAGTTTTTGATGCATCCAGTTGTATCCTCAGGATGTTCCAGATGTTTCCAGGTAACTCTGTAGTTTACGAACTGTGGTTTTGTCCAACGAGCAAAGGTCAAAATCAAATGTTGTGTTTGTGATATGAAAGTGTCCAGTTTCTTCTATAAGGTTCACGATCTAGAGGAGTAAAGAAGAGAAAGTGTGGGGAATTAAGCAACAGACATCAAAAGGGGAACTGGGAGAGATGGAGGGGTCAACTATGGGGCCATAATGATAAATATTCTTAACTACACCAAGAAGGACCTATATTACCAATGACACCAAACAAGCTCTTGACCTATGTGGCAAGTCAAAGATATAGTTAGCCTTTGAAATCCTCAATGAGATAGAGCATACCTTGGCCAGCGATACCTTTTAGACTGCTCTTAAGTCATGATATGGATGCTTGGGAGCTGATTTTAAGATCCCTTTAAAACTTAGTTGCTGACCCAGTAGACACAGTTAATAAATGTAAGGAAATTCTACCCTAGAACAAAACTCCGTTAAAAAATTATAAATGTGTATTACATGTTTAGACATACATACATGCACATAGAATGACCAGTTTTCTTTCTGATTACACAACCATTGTAGTATTAGAAAATATCAGAATGTACTAAGAAAAAAATGCGAAATGATCTACAATCCCACCTGAACATTACAAATAATGACTAGAAGGTCACTTAAGAGGGCTTTCCTGAGTGTTGGAACTGTTGGGTTTTTTGCTTGGTTTAGGTTTTGATTATGTAAGATGTGTTGGTTTTGTGAAAATTCATCTAGTGGTTCACTTTGTTATATGCCAATAAAAATGAAGAAAAACTACACTGCTTTTAGTTCATATTTATTGATTCCCTTTGGGATTCTAGGAAGATAAATATGATCTACAAAGAGAAAGAATGTCACTGTCTCATAGTTACCCCAAACGACTTTTTCAGTTCTTGTTGTACTGACTCCAACTGTGGAAACTGGTAAACCACAGTGGTGATGTAGGCAGTGTTCTCTTGCCCATGCTTTCACGATGCTTCTGAAGTTTCACAGTTAAGAATGCTGGTTATTGAGCTGAGAGATCCTCTGATTGCAGTGTCTTTCCATTCCTACTTTTTACAAATAAAATGCTCAGATATGGACATTGTGTCTGGGTAGAACAGGCCTGAAATATGTGCACTGTGGCCCAATGAGGGAGGGGGATTAATTTTCCAAGCTTCAGCTAGGGGTGTGGAGTGGAGGAAGGAATATAGGCACCAGAGTGACAGAAAATATTTAAGCAGAAATATCATTTGGCAAACTCTTGCACTTTGGTTTAGTTTTCTCTGGTTCTCCTTAGTTCAAATACCTTAAAACAGAAAATAATTTTAATTACCTAGCCTCCTGTTTACTCACTGAAGTCTTAAATTTCCTATTTTTAGTTTGAGAAGGAGCAGTATTGAAACTTTCTTTTCTTACTGAAAGTTATCTAGATTCCCTTAAGAAATAATAAATTTGTGAATTATTGCCCACTGGTCAGGGACTCGTAATAGAAAATGTGCTCCCCATCCTGATGTTTCCCTTGACTTCCACAGAAGCAAAAAAGACATACTAAGCCTCAATCCAATTAGTTGCATAACTCCAGAGTGAGTTATTGCCTTTTTCAATCTGTGTAGCAATTCTGTACAGATAAACTATGGGTTTAATAATAAAACAAGCTACTCTCATTAAGGAACCATGACAGATGTTGCAAATTACCTATGAAATATCCATTTATTCCTTTCTCTTTACTAACAGAAGCCTGGTTTTCTGGGAAGAGCAATACGACCAGTTAAAAGGTTTGCTACCCTAGTAGCAAACCTATTTGCATTACCTGGCAGCCACTGCTATTTAAAATTAATTTGTCAGAAGTCAATGACAAAGAAAAGAAAGTCAAAGAAAAAAATTTGACAAGTAGACACAATGGAATGTGCATTTTTGCCCTCTGTCCTTCTTCCTGACTGGAATAAAGATGAGATGCCAGGAAGTACCACAGCTATCTTCTCATGAGGATGAACACAACATGGCAAAGCTGGAAGAAAAAGATACTGTCACTTCAGTAGACTTTTGTTTGTTTGTTTCTCTTATAAACATTTTATTGTAGCTTGGATGAAAGTTTACAGAGCAAATTAGTTTTCCATTCAACAATTTATAACATTTTGTTTCACGACATTAGTTAACAGTTCCCTCAAAGTAACAGCATTTTCCTTACTTCCTCCCTCGGTTCTCTGTCAAAAGTCATCCGTTTTTCCTGCCCCATCCTGCCTTCTGAGCTTTGTTTTGGGGCAGATGCTACCCTTTTGGTCTTGTATGGTTGATCACACTGAGGAGTACATTTCTCTGTGTTGTTTTATGTATTTTATAGACAGGCTTGTCTATTGTATAGCTGAAAGTTGATCCCTGGCTGTGGGATCAGTTCCAGGTCTGAAGGGTGCCTACAGGTCACAGTCTATGGGGTTCCACCAGTCTCCATCAGACTAGCAAGTGATTTTGAATTGTGTTCTACTTTCTTTTCTCCCGTTCCAGGACCTTCATTGTGATCCTGATCAGCACGGTTGGTAGAGATAGCTGGGCATCGTCTTGTGCTTTTGGTTGAAGGATAGTGGAAGCTGTGGTTTTCATGTCCATTAGTCCTTGGCCTGAATGTCTCCTTGAATCTGTGATTTTCTTCGCTCTTCTTTGCTCCAGATGAGGAGGTTCTAATAAATGCATCTTAAATGGCCATCTAACACCCCAGTTGTGACTCACCAAAGTAGAATGTAGAAAATTTTCTTTGTGGAATGTGTTATATACCATGTGTCCTAGACAACCCCAAGATATTGACCTTGACTCATTCCCTCAAGGTGTTTGGTTATGTCTAAGAAGCTTTCAGAACTTTGTTCCCTATATGCTCTACAATATCCTTGGACACATTTGCAGCACATACAAATATGAGTACATATGTAGAAATATTTTCTGCCAAATCTATATATACTCATGGGTGTACTCCCATTTGCCTTTCCACATCTGTTCAGCTTATGTATCTACTTGTAGATCTTGTTTGCTAGGACTATTACTGAAGGACTGTGTATATAATGGCAATGACCTTTCTTGTATTTCACTCATGTGCATCTTCCCTTGCTGTGTCTGTATTGTATATTGTAATATTGCCCTTCCCTTCAGTCAAGTAATATGTCTAAGTGCCCATCACCAGATGAATGGGGGAAAAAGTACTGGAATATCACGCAGCATTAAAGAAAAATAAAGAATCTGCAAAATACTCCATTCATATGGATAAATCTGGAGGCATTCTGCTGAGTGACATTAAGTCAGTAACAAAAGGACACGTATGGTATAAGACTACTATTATAAAAAGTCAAGAAAAGGTTTAGACACAAAAATAAAATGTTTGGTGGTTACCAACGGCATATTTGATCCACCAGATTTACTTACCTTGAGGCTTAGTGTCATGTAACAATAATTCTATGACAGAGGGCAGGGTGAAGATGGGGGGGCCTTAATTGATCAAACCATTGGATCCAGACAGGATTCTATTACGTGCATCAATATACTATTAGAAAGTTGTGCCCAATTATAGTTAAAGTAATGTAACTACACATATGTAATAGTCTCAATAAAATTGTATTATTAATATTCAAACATGTAAATGGTCATTCATTTATTTTTATTAGTTAATAATTATAGAGCTTTGAGCAAGTCTTTCACACACATCTATATACACAAAGAGCTACAACGCAGCTATGACCACAAGCAAAAACCTTTCAAGGCAATTATGTACTTACTATGGATTGGGTTAAGAGTACTTCACAAAGTAAATTATCTTATTGATAATATTATGAACCTAGTGAAACATGTACATTTCAGGATAGAAACAAATGGCCTCTCCAGAAACAGTGGAAGTTCAAATTTATACCGTGCAAGCACATGACTGCTCCCCATAACCAGTAGGTTAGTGACAAACCATTCAGAATAAAGAGTCCTGGATCGGGCATATGGAGTTCTGCACTTGCCCACTATCTGAATGGCAGTTGACAGGACATGAGAACACCTGGAGCCTTGGTTTCCTCATCTGGAAAGTGTAGCTAATTCCACCTGCTCTACTTACCTTACAGGGCTGCACAGGGGATCAATTAAGATGAGGTCAATGAAGCAGAACTTCTGTATTAAACTAGAAATGACTACACTGATCAGAGCAAGATGATGATGATTACCATATAAATACAAGCGTATCCTTAATTATTCAGAAGGTAATTATCCAGGAAAAGAATGATCAGATTTTATGCCTTTTAATCCCTCCTATTCCTCTTTGACAGTTAGCCATTTCATTCTCACTAAAACAAATGGAGCATGGAAAATGCCAGAAACTAAACCTCAGGAAAGGTCGACTTGAAATTTTCTTTTAAAATAATTACAATGAAAGCTTGCAGTGGGGTTAGAAGGATGTAGAGGAAAGAGTCAATGAAGGAAAGTTGTTGGAATGAGAGTCTAAAACCACAGTGTAAGCGTAAGAAAAAGTAGGACCACTTGCTACCAAGTCAATTCCAACTCACAGTCATCCCACATGTGTCAGTGTGAAACTGTGCTCCACAGGCTTTCTAATGACTGCTTCTGTGGAAGTAGTTCTCTCGACTTTTCTACTGAGGAACCTCTGGGTGTAATCAAACTTCCAACCAGTCAGTTATCAGCTGAGAACTTAAATGGTCATTCATTTAAGCTCTAAGAACATCAAGTGTTTATACCTCCCCACCAGGGAGACTCAACCCTATCGTTACGTCTTAAAATAATAAGTAACGCTGGAAGCACCCTTTATTATTATTTTTGTTTTTAAAAAGGGGTTTTCTGTGCCTTGATATTGTTGTTGTTGTTGTTATGTGCCGTGGAGTCGGTTCCGACTCATAGCGACCCCTGTACAGGGTTTCCGAGGGTGTAAATCTTTACGGGAGCAGAAAGCCTCATCTTTCTCCCACAGAACGACTGGTAGTTTTGAACTGCTGACCTTGTGGTTCGCAGCCCAATTCGTAAGCACTATGCTACCAGAGCTCCTTGTGCCTTAATGTAGCTGCCCACTAATTACTAAGGAATAAACTGAAAGCTGGACAATAAAAATTCTTTCTAGATGAAATATCTTAATTTTC